GGGAGTTCACAATTATTATTGCACTGATTCCTCATGAATAGTCCTGTGATGTAGGTGATATTAAACTCTTATGTGGTAGATGAAGAAGGTGAGGGAAAGAATTTAGTCAAATACCCAGGGTCATCCAATTAGTAATTGGCAGTGCTAATGATTTGAATCCAAGTCAGACTGACTCCAAATCCCCTTTCTGACTATTATACATCTGCCTCCTTCTTAATCTGTCTTAATGCCATCTTATGCACATTTTCCTTTATCCAAATCTCAAAACGTCATAGAGCTGAGGTTGACTCCTATTTTACATTCTAAGCACAATTTTTATTTTTTCTTCGGCAGAGTTCTTCCTATTGTCAAATTCCATTTAGCTTAAGAGAACTAGGCCCCTGGGATGTGCTCACACCACATGCGCCTCTGTCCCTCTCCTGGGGAAGTGCACACACTGGGAAGGTTCCACATCCACACATTGCACCATCTTTCCTAAAATGCAGTACAACCACACTATCACTCGGAAATGATCGCTCAGAAATGATTGCCTACAGAAACCTTAGGAAGTTTACTAAAATAAACCAACATGCTTTACTCCAAGTTCCAAGAGTCAGAGGATATTTCCCATGGAGTCGTTACTATTTAAGGCCTTTTTAGATTTTACATAATTATCATTTATTCCTAGCTTGGTAGTTCATTATCTAATGTGTATGCTTTAAGCATTTGACCTGACTGTGAGCAATTGCTCATTTGGCCAGAACTAGCAGGTTTTGTTTTAAATGTGAACTGGAAGGAACCCCCAAAGCGTTACCTTTTGCTCAAACTGTACTGTAAGTCTTTGATAACTTGCTGCCTATGTGGGCAGTGATAGAAAGAAAATACAGCGAATGATCATCACGTTCCTTGGGTGAAATTTCATGATCAGTTTCAATCATGCTGAGTGACAGAAAATGAGGTAATGGTGATCTTTTCTTATCATTATTTGTTTTCTGCAACGTGTTTTACTTTAATAAGAGTCTGGATATCATTTTGAATACTTGGCTCATCCATGATAGCCTGGTTTTCATCTACATAAGTTCACGTGCCACTCACTTACTCTGAGTAAGCAGGTACCATATGGAGTCAACAATGACAAAAAGCCAAAAAAGTTAACAGGATCTCAAAAATTATGCTTTTAGCACTACCCCCACATTCCTTCATTTCTTGATTCATAACATTTACCTCCTAGGATAAGCTTACCATATTCAGGGAGCAGCTGCATAAATCATTAGAAAATGACTGGGACTGCAGAAATGCCCCCAATTCTCATTTTTGTTGTCTTAATTTGATTCGAATGTAATAGAACTAACACAGGTGCAGCCAGTCTTTTTATAGTGGTATTTCTGGGCTCAACTCAATTTTTTCTCATCAAATCATTGTGCATCATGGAGCTTTAAAACCAAGTGGATAAAGCTGCAGGTCTATTTGGTGATCTAATTTCTTTCCACTACAAGTGACTTTGCTAATATTTCTGATTTTATATTATTGTTGTATGTAAGAGAGCTAGGCTTCAGTTCAGACTTGTCTTAGATTACCCAAATGAACTCAGAGGAAAGAAAGAGAGAAAAATAAGGGGATACAGAGAGACAGAGAGATAGGTCTTACTTAAATTATACAAAGTTACATAAGTGCTATTAAAGGATATAAGGAAATGCTCAGAACTTGTCACTTGAGTTTATTTACATCTACTGTGCCTATGTGGAGGAAATATATAACAGAGTGGCACTGTATGTTCAGTTGACTTCACATTATCAGCTAGACATTGGCTATGGGGAGAGTAATTGGGAAACATGGTGGACTATTGTTAAGTGTTTCCAACACACCACTAGGCAGGATCCTGTATATCAGAGAATAGACCAGAGAAGGAATAAAAGGTGTGTAGGCATTAGTGTAGTCTGCCTAGGACAGATAATTATTTGGGAGAGTGCAGACAAACAAAGATGTAAAGATTCTTCTTTACAGATTTACAGACCTCTAGACATTAGCAACCCTTGGAGAATATCTGATTCAACAACGTGCTTTCAACAAATGAGAAAACTGGGGTTTCATAGGGTGGTCATTTTTCTAGAATTACACAACAAATAAATGGCAGCCAGGCCTTGAGTGACCAGTCCAGCACCATTGTCCACCAATTTTTTTTTCTTTTTCACTGATTTTATATGAAATAATGGAGAACAATGATCAGCCTCGTTGTGTCCTTTGTCTGTGACAGGTACTAACATAATGCCTCCTGAGCAACCCACGAATATCATCACAGCTGATGTAAAAAGGAGCATGTTTATTTTTTAAAAGATTGTTACAGTGCTGGCTGAATAGTATTTCTGCTCCTTAAATCATAGTACTCTCATCTCTCAAATGGAGGAGAGTCCATTTCTCAAGTGTAAATGAGTCCCTCATTTCAACCTAGTAGGAAGATTACATTGCAAAGAAGGAAGGGAGGCATAGTGAAATAGATATTTCCAAATTATTTTCTAAGACCTCCAATGGGACATGGTCAGGGTCTCTGGGGATACAGTATTTGGAGAGAAGATAAGTGGGTGGGATATCTGCATCCCATTTACTCCTCATTCAGAAGATGAGCATCATTTTTAAATATTGCGTTTCTGCATAGAATTTCTTTTAAAATGTCCTATGGTGGTGCCTGTGGCTCAGTGGGTAGGGTGCCGGCCCCATATAACAAGGGTGACGGGTTCGAACTGCCCCGGCCAAACTGCAAAACAAAACAAAACAAAACATAGTGGGGCATTGTGGCGGGCACCTGTAGTCCCAGCTACTTAGGAGGCTGAGGCACGAGACTCGCTTAAGCCTAGGAGTTGAAGGTTGCTGTGAGCTGTGAAGCCACAGTACCCTACTGAGGGCAATAAACTGAGACCCTGTCTCTAAAAAAAAAATTAAAAAAATAATGTCTTATGTTAACCAGTTGGATGAAAGTATTTCAGATTGTATACAGAAACACTACACTGTACCCCATGATAGTATTCATGTACACTGCTATGATTTCATAAAAAAAGATAAGCAGGAGATTATAGGTAAAATAGAACAAAAAGAATACATGGTACATTTGGAAACCTCTAATGAAAATAAAGCTAAACACTTGACAATGAAAAAAAAATAATGTCCTATGTTAAAATAATGAAGTTTAATTATGAGAGAGACTTTACCTAACAGATGCAGTCAGTGTAACCTGGTTCTTCGTACCCTCAATGAATCCCCAATAATTATTTTTAAAAAATGACGTTTTGAAAGGAAATGTGTTACTTGTAACAGTATTATCTTTGAAATCAGGCAGACCTGAAATTAAATAACCAGTGTGACCTTGGGTAAACTGATCAATCTTTCCATCTTGAATAGCTCTCATAATAGCTAAAACCCAGCGTTTTTGTAAGAATGAGGGAAGGCTCTTAGCATTATGGCTGGCACATGGGAGATAGTCCACAAATGTTCCAGAAGTCTTAAGCATGGTAGTGTAATCTCTGGATGATAGCTTTATAAACAAGCTCCATTAACCTGGGCATCATCCTCAGTTTTAAACAATAATGTATAGCAGTGTGTTAACTTCTAGACTGTATTGAATGGAAACTTTCAATTTCAAATATCAAAAATAATAGCAACACAAATTCATCCTTTGGCTTTTAGTGTTTCTTGATGTCTTCCTATTTTAAACTTTAAAACAGTCCAACTGGGCAAAAGGGCAAACACTATTCTTTCCATTTCCATTAAGAAATGGAAGCACAGGAATAAAATGATCCATTAATCAAAGTTACTATCTGCTTTGTTCTCACTATTCTTCCCCCTGGGGTTTCTTAGTTTTAAGCTGTACTTGCTGATTTACTTGTATGGAGAGCCAGTCTCACCCTAAATCCCTGACCGATACTGACTCAAGAAGTATTTAAACAGATGTCAGTTCCAATCCACCCACCCCAACACAACCTATGTGGATTCTTTAAGTTTTCTCTTTTGGGTGACCTGCAACTTCCCCCTGGGGCAGTAGTAGTTCCTCTCTTCCTGTAATGGGGTCTCTATGTCTGATATCTCACCAGGATTTCCTCCATGTTAGAATAGTCTTCCGCTTCACCTTGCAACTCTGAGGCAGATAACTTGACTAAATGAGAACGGGAGTTCTAGTGATTTCAGACTGAGTCATTTTCCAAACATGTTGGTTTCATCCTCGTCTCCTGCTTCTCCATTTGATACCTCCCATCCCAAATCTGACCCACTCTAGGACTCCCTTCCTCTTTTCTGGGCTGTGCGACACGGCAGCCACTCCCTATAACAAATGTGTCCATCATCCACTGATCTCGGCAGCAGAGCCAGACCACAACTTACAATCAGAGTTTTCTTTATCTTTATTTTTATTTTTTTTATGATAACGTGACTTTTTTTCTTTTCAGAAATCATTGGAAAAACAGAGAAACCCTATGTTTTCCTTGTTGTTGTGACTCACTTTGAGACTTTTCTAACAGGAATAACATCATTGGAATATAGATTTAAAAAAACCAATAATATTCCCCTGTAATCACAAAGCAAAGCAAAAAATATAGCCATCAACATTGCAGAAACAATGATTGTATAATTTAATCATGATAACAAAGTATTTAGGTATTTTTAAATGACTACCTGAAGCTATTTTTAATTCTATAGGTTGTTATATAATTACATATGTTAATACTTTAGTAGTTAAAAAAATTGGTTCTACCTACATTTTTAACTACTTTTTTTCTGCCGTTTTTGGCCAGGGCCGGGCTTGAACCCACTACCCCCAGTATATGGGGCCAACGCCCTACTCCTTGAGCCACAAACCCACCCCAGTTCTGCCTACTTTTAATACACAACATAATAAGTTGTATCTTCTTCCTAATAGCCCAATTATCAGAATAGGAACACAAAACAAACATTAGAGAGACAAAGAAAGTATCAGAAAAATTGCCTCTTGGTTTCTCATCTCTTTCTCTTTCCTTTGTGTATATAGTACAGCTGTTAAAAATGTGGAGCATTCCATGAATCTGCGTGTCAGCCTTGGGGGCCCTGGAATCTTCACTGTACCATTCTAATTTTAGTGTACGTGCCCCTGAAGTGAGCACAGATTTCCTTACTCTTGACCCAAGAAAATCGTTAAGGAAATTGGCAGCAACAAGGGCAAACACAATTTATTTATATATCAATGAAGGAATTACCAGAAGTCTACATATCACAGGCATTATTATGTACCAGGAAAGCAATGTTGAATGAGGTGCAAAATATTATGATTGAAGGCAAAGGTGTTGAAACCCTGAAGCTGATTCTAAATGAAATTGAGAATAGTTATTTATAGATGTGAAGATCAAATGCCGAAGGAGAAAGGAATGAGACATTTTAGAAAAATATTATTTTAGGCAGGAAGAGAGAAAGGACACACAGAGAAGGTTAACTGAGGCAGGAAGGTGCAAGGGGAGTGCATGGGACTGAGGCTGTGATATGAGCAGAGTGAGGGGCGGCTCTGGAGAATTCTGAAGGGGTGGAAAGTTGTACTGCCCAAGATGGGGAGGGATCAGTGATGTGGTTAGATCTGAAATTTGGAATCAACACTGGCAAAGAATCTACTCATGGCATGTTGGGCAATATGGATGAAAGAACAAGTGAGATGAAAGGAAGGACAATTGAGTCATTGTCCCCCCTTCCAAATATCCACTGCTGAGAGGGAATTGAGCAAACAGCAAAGATCTCATGACTGGAGATACTCAATGAGACTGAAACCCCTTTCTTCCCGTTCCTGCTGGAAAATATATAAACAACATGCAAATTCAAATAAAAAAATTCTTCCTGTGTCACGTTGAGAAACCCTCTGTTTCCTTTGTTGTTGTGACTCACTGTGAGACTATTCTAACAAGAATGCAATTTGTAGGGATGGGCAGACCTGTTGGGGAAAAACATAAGAACCTCTCTGGAATGTTTACCCATTCGTGGGACCATAGAATTTTTTTTTTCCCCAGCAAAGCCTGTGTTCCTTTTGAAAGACTCAAATTAGTTTTGGTTTGGAGAGGAAAAATGTCTCAGATAGCATAGCATAACTGCACTGAGGTACACGAGACACCTCAGGACAATCCTTAAAGAAGCAAAAGACAATGTTAACTGACTTATAAAACACTTTCCTTAACCCACGTCTTACCCAGTGGCTGCAGAGAGATGAGGAAGCTTGCAGGAAGAATGGAATGAAGGACGGTCATACTTGGGATATGCTATCCCAGGCGTGAAGAGAAATAGGACAGTTTATAGCTGGCCGTAGCTGGACAGTGGAAAAGAAGGGTATGGGAAGGGCAAGAGGTAACTATAGCTTAAATCAAATCAAAGAATCAAGGCCCTGATTAAAATACTTTTCTTGCTACAAAGTATCTTTGTGAAGGGCTTAAGTGTGTAAGCTGGAGAGTGGTGGTGGTGGGTGCTATCTTATAAAATGAGAGTTCTTCCACACACCTAAAACATACCATGAACGTTTTAGGACCCATGGACGATTAAAACATACAGTTCTGTGTCAGATCACAGATGCTATTAAAGCATTGTGTTTTTTTTTTCCCTTGCTTTTTCCATTTATTGGAAGGAAGAAGTAGGGTTAGGCAGGGATCTTGGCTTTGGAACATTTAATCCTGACATATCTTGTAAGGACTTGCTTTTAAAATAGTGAAAAAAAAATTCACCCCAATTTTTTGACATTCTTAACTTGTTTATTTTTGATCCCTGGAGAGAAGAATCTGAGATAATGGCAGTTACCTGAAAAACAAAATTAATGTAAGAGAGGGAGAGAATATGAATGAACAAGAATATGTGGTTGGGGTTCTCTAGAAAGTCTCTAGAGAGGTCCTTTAGGAGGTCTCTAGAGCTCCTGCAGTTCTAGAGACTATTACCCCGGTCCATTGGGTACTATGTGCAAAGTCCCTGAAGCAAGTGTTTGGAGACAGAGTAGGTGGTATTTTAAAGGGCATCAAGACAATGCTAAGATATCTGTTTTATTTTGACCTTCTGCTTAAGATCTTTTCTGAAAGCAGTTTGACTTAAAAAAGGAAAACATTCTTTGAGGGGAAAATACAAGATATTACCTAATTTTTTTTGGAAGCCAAACACATTCAAATATGCTTAGTCCTTCTTCAATGTTGTAGTTGAATGAGTAAAATTAGTAAGTAAAATCGCATTTGTCAATGCTTTCTGTGAGTGTGGCTGTGAACTGTTTCACCAAATTTGCACAGCGTAGCTGCAATGACCTAATTTCAAAGACAGTTATGTGGCATGCAAGGAATCAACCTTGGAGACTCCCTGGGAAGCAGGTCAAAGTGATAGTGAGTCATCCTCTTGAGATTGAAACCAAGATTGACAAGAGGCCGGAATGGCTGTTCAGAACAGACACAAAATTTATAGTGAGGACCATGGACAGAGGACTTGGTGGGTCCATACAGGAGCCCCAGATCAAAAGTCTTAGGACCAAAGTCTGAAATGCAGGAATTTCTGTGCTGGCTGTTTCTCACACGGCCACTTTAGGATCCAGGGTAATAACAGAGAGACGCTTATTTCATAATGGCTAAGGGTTCCTCTAAGCCTGGCAGAGAAGGCCAACTATTAACACCATCCACATAGAACACTGGGAAAATCTTTGTAGTATTCAGTGGATTATAGGATTGTCATCTGAATCTATTATTTTCCTCTTTCATCTCCAAATGAGTTATATTCCTGAAAGAAATCAGACTTCTCTTTTATTATCATTGAATGTATTTGTGTTTACAATTTCATTTTCTCAAAAAGATTACAGGGGCAATGCTTTATGATTATTTTACCTCCCTTCATGGCACCCAGGATAGGTGCTAAGCACAAAGCAATTATTCAATGCCTTTTTTGGTTAATACATTTAAATTAAAAAGTTGGTAATATTCAGCTAGTTATGCTTCTAGAAGGTTAGACTCGCAAATATGTGAAAGTCCTTTCAAATGGCTTTGATCATGCAATGAAAGTGAATTGCACTTTTTTCTTCTTTTTCCAGCAGTTTGTTTTGCAATCTGAATTTTTTCAGACTTTGCTTTGAAAAAGGTTGAAATGAAAAGCGTGGCAGCAAATCAGCCAGTTAAGAAGGTTAACAATTAGTCATAACTTTAACAGATGAGACAATTACACCATCTCTACCTTTTAAAAGTAACCACATTTTTAATTAGATTTTAATCATAAAGGTCAGAGGTAGTGTAAGTTTAGAAAATCAGAAACAGTCTGTGTTGGCAAACCTGCTTTATCTCAGATGTGTTAGGTTGGCCAAATTAACTAAAACAGATGGCGAGAGGCTTTTGTTCCTTCCATGATTAATTGCTGATTACATGATTTTAACAATCTTTAATATTTCAAGACTAGGTCTCAGAACTCATCTTTATAGGGATGGCTTCCCTTGGTTTCTTAAAAATATTCTACAAAATATCAATTATTTTTCCTACTGCTTTAACAAAGCATAAAACGATGAATAAAAAGGCCTTGCACTTCAGTTCCGATCTTGATTTTGTGGGACTTGTAAATACCCTGCTTCCTGAAGCATATTTTAGATCCTAGTGAGCCATTCCTTTCTAGAGGAGTAATTTTGGACATAAAGAGGTTGACTTTAGATGATATTTGCTGTTGTGGCTACCTGTTACTTCATAGCAAATGACTAACAGTGATGTAAAACAATAGTCATTTTACCATCCTCATCATTTTGTGTGTCAGGCATTGAAACAGACACGTCCAGGGTTGCTGATCTATGCTCCATTGTGACCGGGGCCTCCAGTGGCCTGGCTGTCATGGCAGGATTTGGCTGGGATGCCTACACTGGAATACGGGCATGAACTGTTAGGTACTTTCCATCTCTATAACATGTCTGCTGGGCTGAAATGTGCAAGGTGCCTCCTTTACTCATGTGTCTTGAACTTGGGCCAAGATAACGGGAACAGGTAATGTCAGTCTTCTCCTTCCCTTTCCTGCCTTTTCCTTTTCTCTTGCTCTCTCTCTTTCTGAGATTTCTCCATAAGACCAGCTTGGGCTTCCTAACTGGAGGCCCCAGGAAGCATGGAGCATAGATCAGGAAGTGGTGGTCTCATGGTAGCCAGACTCCTTACACGATGGCTGGCTTCTTCCAGAAGGAGCTTTCCAACACAGCAAGCACCAAAAGGCCCAGGTGAAACTGGGAGACTTTTTATGACTTGGCCTCAGAAGCCCTGAGCTGATACTTATATCTTATTCTTTTGGTCAAACAGGTCACTAAGTAGGCCAGACTAGATTCCAGGGGATGGCAGGAATGCTGGGGTCTACGGTATATACGTACAGGGAGAGAAGGAACTAATGGTGGCTATTTTGGAGACAAGCTTTCACATTTGTTTTATAAATAAGATTTCTGTAACAGAACACTTACCCTCATACTTGAAGCATTTTTTTTTTGTTTGCTTTAAGCATTCTGCATTTTTATCCTGTGGATCCATACGTCCTGTCTTTTCAAAGTACTAAGGATCATGGGATCAGGATTTAATTGTCAATAATAATTTTATATTTTGATTCTAAGATGACACTTCAGTTGCTTATCTCAGTTTCAAATCCACAAATATAAAGAAATACTCTTGACTTTTCAGGAATTCTGCTCCCTTAATCTCTTCAATTATGCCTTAATTCTCAATAACCTCTCTCAGCAGTTAATGTTGTTTATGATAGAGTATTTCCAATATTAGTAAATCCTGTTGTACTTTACTTGAGAGCTTTAATTTTTTAAGTTCAGTGGTTTTCAGCCAGAGCAGGGGAATTGATCCAATTATCTCATTCACTTGGGCTTTGAACCTGATCTCATAATGTCACATGGCCCCAGTTTACTATTAAGAACTCTTATGTCTTTTATAATGATTCTTCTTGGCAATTTTAATTAAATGACCACACTGAGTTGGATATAGGGAAACATTTGAGTCAGGCAAAATTGGTCTTTGATGCTTTTATATTTCCCTTTAAGGACTTTTCATTTCCCGAGACCTCTTACTTCCTAGATTTCTAGAGTGCTTGATAGAACCTTCCTTTCATTCTAGCAGACACCTCTGTAGCAGGTGCTTGCCCTCACTGGCCC